TTTTTGCTTTTTTGGTATATCTCGGCCAAATAATGTCCGATTTTGGAATTTAATACCATTTTAGACTCGTAAGGATCAGTACTATTGAAAATCAATTTTTCAATCAATTTTTTTGATAATTTTTTTGAATACCTCGGGTAAATATAGTCGATTGGCATCAAAAAATGAAAATCTAAATTTTGACCAAAATCGAAAAATCGGGGACGTAACGAAAATTAAAACTTTTATGATGATAGTTTTATAATTGTGGAATGTCCTTGGTATCTCTGGGCATGTAAAGGAGCTAAAGAACTTTCTATGCTTATTACTCAGCCTTATCCTTGCTGATCCTGGCAAGTCATGTGTCAAACAGTTCCTGTGGACAAGAATCATAAACTGGCGAATGGACATCCAAATCGTCCTTGTGGTTGCCGGGATATGGCTACTTTTTTAAAAAGTACATTCTTTTTATCGTCATAACTCTTCCAAATCCTGAAGGAAATCAGAAGGATATACCTTTCTGAACTCGTGGGCAGAAGAACTATCGATTGTCATTCCAGGATTTTGATGATTCCACAAAAAATGTTGCTGAGGGGGTTAGTCGCGAAAGTGGCTACTCCGGGCTATCTTTGACATTTGAAGGACTTTCGGGATGTCCTTTGGACAGCAAGTCGTCCTCACCCTTCCATTGTATAATATACAACCCAAAGGACGAAAGTCCTTCAGACAGCGAAGTTTTAAGGAAAATTTTGTGCAATGAAAATAGGCTATAACTCGGTGATATCCTTGCGTATCCTGACGAGTCCTGTGTCAAAAAAATTGTATTGACTAGGACTTCCAACTGGCCAAAGGACGTCGAGATCGTCCTTGTAGTTTCAGAGATATTGCAATTTTATTGATTTTTTGTGATTTCAGCCAATTTTCGTTGGCCCCGCGATTGAAAATTTTCCAAGTCCATGATTCTTAGATGACCCCCCAAATTTTTTATACAGACCGATGCAGTTGGTCTCCACGATCCCAACGCACCATATCCTTTGAAATTCTGCAAGGATATGACCGAGTTATGGCCATTTTACTTTTACAAAATACCTTTATACATTTTGTTTGACCAGTATTAAAATGTGTTTATTTCTTCACAGATCCATGAAATAAAGGATTGGCATTAAATCAAATCAAAAATCAAGGGGTTTCATCAAAGTTTTTGACCACAAGCGATCCGGTTGTATAATAAAACTTTTTTTTATGATTTTTTTGGATTATCTCGGCCAAATAATGTCCGATCTCAGAATGACATACCATTTTGGACGCGTAAAGATCAGTACTACCGCCGTACCGCCTACTGCCGTACCTATGGATAAAAAGAATTTAAACAGTTGGTACCTAGTTGACCCATGTATCCTTGGTTTTACCATGCCAAAGATATAGTCCTAGCGAACCTACAGGATCTAAAATGCCAGATATTGTCCAAAAACATGAATGCTTTTTCTTTTAGCCATGCCCAGCAACAGATGTGACCCTTGATGGTCCTTGGTTGACTAACATATCCTTGGTTATATTATCATACCATTGATATAGTCCTTGAGAACCTACAGGATCAGATCGCTGAGAAATGCGCATCAAAATGGTCCAAAAACATGTATGCTTTCTCTTTTAGCATCCCCTGTACATGATCTGTTGCCTAACAGCCGTGCTTACAGAACTCATTTTACTTGACCAGCTTGCTGTGCATTTCTGTTCGCCTGGTATTTTGGCAGATTTTAAGAAAAATCTCGGTAGCCAGCGATTGCCAACAGACGCCCCTGGCGGGTATGCAATGGATTTCTAAAGACCGTTGATTTATGAATTTTTAAATAAAAAAACGGGAATTTATGTTTATATTTATAAAATTGTTATTTATGCTAGTTAAAATTCTACAAATCTGGCTTAATTAAACTCCGATCCTGGAAAAATCTGCTCTGTCACTCGTGAAGGTCCTTAGAGCTGATTGTAGTCCTTAATTTGTCAGTCTGAAAAGATAAAAACACATTTAAATTAAACAAATAAATAATTATATAAAAGCGGAAAATAGGCCATAACTCGGGCATGTCCTTGCAGATTTTCAAAGGACATGTTGAGTTAGGATCGTATAGACCCCCTGCATCGATCTGCATCATAAAAATATGGGGTCATCTAAGAATCATATGACTCGAAATTGGACTTGTAAAATTTCTGCCCCGGGGCGCACGGAAATGGCCCGAAAACACAAATCCTTAAATATCTCCAAAACTACAAGGACGATCCTAATCAAATTTGGCCAGTTGGTAGTCCTGGCCAACACAATTATTTTGGCATATGACTCGACAGGATACGCAAGGATATGCTCGAGTTATGGCTTATTTTCTTCAAACAAAATCGTCCTAAAAACATTTTTGTCTGAAGGACTTTCGTCCTTTGGGTTGTAAATTCTTCAATGGGAGGGTGAGGACTTTATACTGGCAAAAGGACATCCCGATAGTCCTTTAAATGGCAGAGTTAGCCCGGATATTTTCGATTTTGGCCAATTTTGCGACTAGCCCCCTAGGATAAATTTCGATGAAATTTTTTGTCGAATTCTGGAAATCCTTGAATGCCAATCGATAGTCCTGCTCCCCACAAGTTCAAAAAGGCATATCCTCTGGATATCCTTCAGGATTTGGCCGAGTTATGGCTAGTTAAATAATGTCCTTTTTCGAAAATAGGCCATATTGTGGAAACGGCAAGAACGATTTTGATGTTCTTTGGACCGTGTATGGTCCTTGTTCATACGATTCGTTTAAAACAGGACTTGTCAGGATCCGCAAGGATACGGCCAAGTTATGGCTTTGTTAATTTACGAAAGAATTGTACTCATATCTATGCTGTCTAAAGGACTTTCGTCCTTTTTATTACATATACTAAATTGGGAGGATGAGGACTAACGTTTGGCAAATGGAAATAATGATCGGCAAGGATATGGCCGATCTACAGCTTTTCACCTCTACCGACAAAAATCTCTTTTCCTCAGCTCCTTGAAGGATTTTCGTCCTGTTTATTACATATTCTAAGTAAGCAGGACGAGGACAACATGTTGTCCAAAGGACATCAGAATGGTCCTTAAGGTCTCGCAAACCAGAAGGGCGATTGGCATTAAAAAAATTAAAATTTAAATTTTGACCCATTTCGATAAAATAGCACGTTTTTTGCTAAAAATGGGTTCGGTTTGAAAATTAGAACTATTCAATGATTTTTGAATATCTCTGTTAAATAAAGTCTGATTTTGGAATGTTACACATTTTTGAATTCTTAAGGAACCGTCCTATCGATTGACAATCAATCATATTGACAATCTTGGGGTTACATCAAAATTTTGGATAATGCAGAACAACTTTTATCAAATATTGGGACGGCTCGAAAATCGAAACTTTTTTAATGCCTGTTTGGCATATATAATATTTGTTATATAAACAGCGCAAACTTTAACGACATGTGGCAATCGATGGTTACGCAATTCAACGACGGAAAAAAGCTCATCATGGATTTAATTGATCAATCAACAATGGCCTTTGATCAGCGCCAAGAGCTGTGTACGAAGCTATCAGTGCTGAAGGACCGCAACGAGAATGACAAGGTGATGCATATACAGGAAATGAGAGAAATGCAGCGTCGCTTGGAGCACGATGCCAAGTTGCAAAAGTTCTTCGACATCAAGGGTCAGAAACGAGTCAATCCCGAACTGGAACAACGTGAGCTGGACAAGAAGCAGAATCAAAAGGACAACTATGAGCGCCAGCTATTTGAGTATAAAGAGATAATTGAAAGAATTAAACAGCTATATGGTGAAGATGACACTGAACGTCTGGTGGCACAATTCAAGCGCCAGGAAGATGAAAACTTTGCGCTCTTCAGCTACGTGAATGAGTTGAGTCACGAAGTGGAGGTACTAAATGATACCACACAGGATTTAACAGATCAGATTGGTAAGTCATAGCATTATTGGCATAACTGTATAATGGCTTATGATTATAATATTACTGCGCTTCCAGAGCGCCAAAAATCGGAGCAAACTGAAAAGGAACTGAAACTCAAAACGGAGGCCTTGGATTATTTGAATGACGAACTGGTGCGCATTGAGCAACTGGCCAAAGAGACTAGCGAAAAGAAACAAAATCTGAGCACCCGATTGCAGCAGCTACTCAAGGGTATTGAGGACATATTCAAGTAAGTTTATAGTAGGCATCGTAGGATTTTGAAAATTGAAGGTTTCTTAATACATACAGATTACTGGCCTGCGATGATGCACCCATACTAAATGTGCTCAGCTCCAGAACCTTCCTGACCGTCCATAATGTGAAGCTATTCGTTGGGGTCATTGAGCGTCGTGTGAATATAATTATTAGTACGATTAACATTGAGGATAACTCCAACAGGATATTGGCAAGAAAGGATCGTGTGCCGAAATTTAATATACGGGAATCAGCTAAAATGAGGCATTAGCTGAAATCCAGAAAAGGAAAATGCCATTAACTATTTATTTAATTAACTTGAAAATAATGCACATAAATAGAGCAATCTGAACAATTGTGACTAATTTCCTGTTTAAGATTAATGCATTGGACATTATTTCATTAAGTTCAAATTGAGTATGCAAAATAATAAATTACAACTTGCAAAAAAATAAAATATAAACATAAAGCTTTGGAGTGCAATGTCCATTAGGCAAACACTGCACAATTATTTGCAATTAATAATATAATAAAGGTTAACAGTTCTAAAAATACACTTAAAGTTACACTACGAAATATTCTTTCAATAGTTTTAACAGGCTTCGTTTTAAACATTAACAAAAAATATAGAGATATATATGTGTATATTTATATGGACTACAGTTAAAAGTGGCCAATGGCCAATTAGATTCCACAAGCGCGACTAGCAGCTTCTTCTCACGAATGATACGGTTCCGATGTAACAGCGTCGCTGAACAAGGATGGTGGCACGGGCGTCATCACATCGCGGCTCTCGCCATTGAGCAAATACACAGGTACATTACTGGAGGCCACTTCGATCTCATGTGCGGCAATAACACTGCTGGGTTCCGCCTCTCGACTGGGCGTGCAATCTTGCGTTGTTATTGCCTTAATCACTGCATCCTCCTCACTGCAGGACTCGCCATTTGTTGCCAATGTTACATAGGCGGCAATGCAGTCTGGCTGAGGCGACGCGCAAACAGCGAAATCAATAGGAGCTGCAGGAGCAACGGAATCCGTGCCAGAAGCAATATCAGAAGTGAGAGTTGGAGAAGCAGTCCAAATTTCAATATTTTGCTGGGCCAGCTTTTTCTTAACATTCTTTATCCGGCTCCAGCCATGTTGTTTTCGTCGCCGGCGTCGTTTGGTCAGCTTTAGCTCCTTGGGCCGAACCAGTTCCTCCTACGCATACAGAACAGGAGTGTGTTATGAGCATGTATTAAGTAGAGGAACATAGCATGCAACACTAGCTTGCCGGACAGGCTATCAATTTCCCCCACGGGGTCTGTTATTTCCCATCACTATCGCTATACTCTTTTAAAATAACAATCTATAGACTATTTTAAATTTTCTAACTTATTTACATTCTTTTCTAACTTATTTAAGATTATTTTAATTTTTATATATGAAATTTTATTCACTATTAATACCTTTCTTCTAAGCTGTAGACTCTAAATCACGTCACTGACAAATTTAGCTGTGGAAAGGGACATAGTTGGCCGGACGGGCGAATAATATACCTCCATCGTGTCAGTGATGATATCGGATATTTGTATTCTGATTAGGCTTTAAGTTTTTAATTTTCCCTTTCTAATGTATTAATTATTTGAGGTTGACACTCGTTGTGTCGACTATTAATAAATGAATAATAAATAAATAAATTAATTGAGTAACATTACCGAGTCTTCAAAGTGGATGCGCTTCAGTCTTACAACAGGCATTGGCATCGCTGTCTTCTTTGCATGCACCTGCGCCGCAAAGCTTTTGATGATTGCCACTTCATTCTCCAGCCTCTCGATATCCTTGCGCAGTTCGATATTCGACGCATGCAATCGCTTTCTGACTTTTTCGTCGAACTCTGACGGCGGCTTTATAACACTGGATCCTCGCTTCTCGTCAAGTTTCCTGCGCTGAAGCTGAAGCAGACTATTGTAGAAATCTACATGCTCCGTGGACGTATCAGCGAACTTGCGTCGGTCAAATTTATATTTTCTGGCCAATGCCTGCACCCGATCAACGTCAATAGAGTTCTGCGTGCTATCAGTCGATCTTCGACGACGGTATGTCTCAACCGAGCTGTGCGTGGAGGCGGGTGGCGTGGGCAGTGAACGTTGTGGGCCGCGAGCCTGCAGTCGCTTTGGTTGTGGTGTCGGTGTGCCACTTGAAGCATTGCTTGTCGTGGGCGTGAGCTGACTTGTGGGCGTGTTCGCGATGGCTGCTGACGAACGCGCCTGTTTAACTGGTCGCCCACGTCGATTGCAGGAAGACAACGATTCAGTAGTCCTTTTATCACAGATTTTCTTCGATTCCAATTTGCTAAACATGCGCTGGCCGGCAAGTAAATGTTCTAAATATTGAGATAAGGTTGATAGTTTGATTTATATTTAAAGATATCAACATGCACCTACCTTTGCGTCCCATCCACTTAAGAGATTCAATAAAGTCCATTGATGAGCTTGGTGTCAGCGACGAAAGTGATGTATTACTTAACTTGTTATAATTTTTAATTGATGGCTTAATGGTGTTAAAGGATTTGCTTAACTGGGATTTGTTGGAGGCGCCCAAATGCTGTGCACTGAAAGTGACTTGCTTCTTGTGCAGCGACGCCTCGCTGCTATGGCTATTGCGACTAGATGATTGATGGCAGTGGTGATTGTCATTGGGTTCAGCTATATTACTGGCATTGATGATTTTTCTGCGGGGGAATGAGGCTTTGTAGATCAGTTTGGGGGTTGAAGTGCTGGGGGACAACTCCGTATCGGAGTAGAGCATGCAACTAGATATGGCCTCATCATTCAAGTCCAGCTGCTGCAGCTGTTCCTCTGGTTCCAAATGTTGTTGTGCTTCTGCCTCCTGCTCTGCCGTTTGTACGCACTGATCGACAAGATGTGGCGGCGTTTGTGTTGTAGACACGAGGTGCAGACTGTCCCGACGGCAGCTGTAGCTGTTGACTATGCGCGGCATTGTGTAGGTTGCAGCAGGCGCAGCCACGGTTGCGCCGCTGCTTGTTGCGCGTTGATAAGTTCGCAAATTAATGGGATATATACGCGTTATGGGCACTAAATCATCTTCCCCAACTCCCGCCGCCTCGTTCGAATTGGAGCCATTTCCATCCACATTGGCGGGCACACTAAAGTCAAGGGAGAACATTTCGTCGTCATCATCCGATTCACAGAGATCCACAACTTCGCACGTGGGATCAATTCCGCGATACAGGGCCGTAGCGCGCTTCACTGGCTCCAAGTGGCTGGCATTGCGGCACAGACGCTTTAGAAAGTCAGGCGGATCTGGAGCTGGCGGTGGCGGAATCTGTGTTGTCGTTGACGCTGACAGCAATACACCGACTAACACTAAACTGGATTCAGAGGCTGTATCCTCCTCATCGGAGTCAAGTATCTGTTGTGAAAGAAAGTATATCAATTTCTTGCCTGGCGATGTAATGGACATTTTACTTTAGTGTTCTTGTACTCAGATAAATTTTGAAGTCATTTTATGGGCAGCAGAGACACGCCCGCCTTCACCTGGCACGCGACTAACTGCGTGGAGAAGGATAACGTGCACACCGCTTGCCCAACTCAGACCTTTTACTAAGACATCATGGTGGTCAAAGAATAACACATTTGATTTATAATAGACAACTTACTAAATCAGTTGGTTGCAGCGTTCGATTGTCCATCTTGCTGGCAGCATGCAATCCTCTGCAGCACTTTTGGAGGCTCAGATGTTCCAAAATGCAACGTGTGGCCGTGCTGGGTGATCTGTATTTAGGCAAATGCTCTATGTAGGCGGGATTGTAAGGTAGCGTGCATGCGGGCCGCATAAATTTGATCGCAAACTCAAAAATGCGCTGCTTGGTCAACTCATCGCGCTCAAGCCTTTGCCAGTAATAAAATATGATAATATATTCGATGTATATTTTATCGGGCAGCTCCGCCTGACTAAACAGGCCTGATGTTGAGGACCATTGCGGAAAGAGGCGGCTGAAAAGGAGTTAGCATATTATAATATAGAATATGCAATAATCTTATTGTCTTCTCATATAAGGCCAACCTGTAGAAAACGGTGATGATGTTCGCCTGGCCATACAGCTTTGGTACGGCGATCAGCGTGAGCAGCGTCTTTTCCTTGTGTACAGCAGAGCTCCTATCATTATCTTCAACATATAGGCTGAGCATGCTGCCGATCCTCTCAATGATGCACTGCTCCTTCTCGACGCGCTCCTGGGCGGCACACAGCTCACAGGCAATATAATTAGCCACAATGTAGCACCAACGGTCACAGGAAAGATTCCAGCTGTTATTACCCAGCACACGCCGGCCCTTTAGAGTGTAGATAAGGTCGGTGAGACCGATTATACTGCGCGCCAATTTTCGGCATATTAACGGGGAGTTCTGTGCGCACTCCAGCTCCTCTCGTATGGCACTGTCAGGTGGGGTTGGGCGAAGAGATTAATTGAAAGAATTTGGATCAGCCATGGCCATGTACTTACCACTCGAACTGTCGGAGCAGTCGATTCATAACATTGTTGAAGCTGTCATCGTGAATAGCGGCGATCGCTCTATAAATACACCGACGCGTCTCAGTCAGGTGCACAAATTCCGGCATCACGGTCGACGGTGTCGCGCCGCCGCCGGGAGTGGCTGCGACAGAGACGTTTTCATCAACATTCATGCAATTGTTTCGTGTGTTACTCATCATTCTGCAATGCAAGAGAAGGTTGCAAATCAACAAAATGTTGCATTGTTTGAAGAGAAAGTCCCGTTAGCATTGGCTGGCCCTACATACATATGTATATACTGGCACATACACACACACACACGTACCGCAAAAATGTTAACTGTAATGAGGCAGCGGCGCGCTCGCAGTGCACGCTACACTACAAATGTCGCTAGTGCACACAGTCCAGGTACGAATTCACAATGCATTTGTTGTATTTTGCACATGTTTTACACTACTTTCTGTTTGTGAATTGAAACTTGTTTGCTTTCGACCATTTCAGTTTTAGAATGTTGACTGCTGAAATACACACGAAAATGCATTTAATCGGTCACACTTGGCCTTAAAGTCGTGTGCAGTGTGGCCGTAGTAGAAAAATGTAAAAATACCAAATACGCCGCATAGTTCTATGTTTCAGTGTTGGAAACCGCAAACACATGACCGCGAAATATAAATATTAGGGCGCGTAATTCAATTGATTAAAAATTCAAGCATTATACCTTATAATACATTATACCTTATACTTATAATAAATAAAATGGATATGAAAAATATATACATGAATATTTTTTAACACTCGCCTAAATATTTAGGAATATCTATTACACATATCAATAAGTCGTATTCAGTCTTTTAAATATTACATTCATTTCAAAATACGCGATAGCATGAATTCTTTTGTTTTAATGTTGTTGCCAACTTTATTTATTAAGTCCTTAATCAGTTCTTTCTCAATGCTTCTACAAATTCAAAATAGAAAACTTAGAAGATTACATATTAAAAATTTATCAATTTGATTTCTCGATTACCACTTCAATAAGACTGAATTCTGAGCTACGTATATCAAAAACTGAAACGCGGCGAAGGCGCTGCCGAATGCTTCGCGTTTCCATGTGAAATTGCGTAAATATTTGTTGTTGCAAATCACAACTAAATTATGTTATTTATTAGGCAAACAAGTTGGGACTTAAATTGTGCCACGGCCAGGACTGGGGGCAATGACAAAAACTCATTGGAATTGTATCCACGACCGAAGACAAGAATAAACTACAGAATGTACGTTGCTATTTGTTGTTGCTGTGTGTTTGTGTGTGTGTTGTTGCTGTTGTTTTGTTTTTCTTCGATTAATTGTGTTGTTGTTGTTGGTTTACAACTCGTCCTTCTTGGGCGCCGCTTCTTCGTCCTCCTCGCTCTCCTCAGCAGGCTCGGCATCGGCAACCTCGCCGTTGGCATCCAGGAACTTGACAAACTCATCTAAAGTCCTGTCCAGATTGTAGTCGATGACCTTGTTGTCGTCCTTACGGAAGTATTTGATAGTTGGGAAGGATGAGATCTTGATGTTCTCCAGCTCATTGGCAGTGGAGTCCATCTTGGCAATGACAATGTCGGCATTATCCTTGTACTTCTCAGCCAGCTGATCGTAGATGGGCGCCAGCTGTTTGCAGTGACCGCACCATGGAGCATAGAACTCAACCAGCACCGACTTGCTCTTGTCCAAAGCAACGCTCTCGAAATTGCTCGAGACGAGCACCTTGACGGGCTGTTTGTCCCAATCCTCAGGCAGCTCCTGTGACAGCAGATGCTGCTTCAGTTTACCGTCGAGGAACTTCTTGACGAATGCCTCAATCGACTCGGGTGTCAGATCGGCTGATTCGGGCTTGTACTTGGCCATATCCTCCTCCAGCTTGATCAAGCGAATGGTAGGCACCTCCTCTTTGTTCATGCCAAAGAACTCAAAGATGCGAGTATGATCCTCCTCATCAGATGAGATGGTGACAAACAGAATGTCCTCACGGTATTTCTTGGCAATCTCCTTCAGCGGATCAACATGGGCCTCAATGTGGCCAGCCTCCTTGGACACGAAGAACAACAGATGCGATTTGATGGAGCCACCGAAGATTTTGGATGCCGACTCATGGTTGAAGTCCACAATCAAAGGCAGGGATTGCACCTGAGCGAATTTCTTAAGGCTCTCCTCACTCAGCTCGCCCTCGAACACCGATTTCTTTTCATCGAATGGCTTGAACAGCACGACGCCATTGTCCTTGGATTCGTATTTGGCAATCACATCGGCATTGCTGCTGATACCAAAGACAAACGAGTCCAATGCGTTGGCGGCCTTAGTAAAGACCTTGGCCTCCGCCGACTCAACATCCTTGAAGAAGCCAATGATGGCAATCTCATTGTCCTTCAGGAACTGCTCGGCTTCGGCAACGCTGGTCAAATCCTTGGCTGGTGGGCCAGTCTTCTTGGTCACCCAGGCAATTATGTCAGCGGCCTGACGTCCACCATTGTACTCCACGGGCGAGCCACTGCGGAAGAACTTCAGCGTGGGATAGCCACGCACTTGGTACTGCTCGGCCAGCTCACCCTCAACGGTGGCATCGACCTTGGCCAGTTTAATGGGTGACTCCTTCTCTGCCAGCTGTTGGGCGGCCTTGGCATACTCGGGCGCCAGTGCCTTGCAATGACCACACCAGGGTGCATCTGTAACAAAAATTAAATGAATATTACAAAATAAATAAATATTTCACACATTTATCTAAAAGCGTGTCTAGTGAAATTATTACGATGCACTCTCAAAATAAACAGACCGTTAAATTTCAGTTTTCTAATGTCAGTATTTCAATGTGAACTCAAAAACTCAAGCTTTTAAAATGTTTCAGATAAGCAACTATGTAGAGTACTTCAGATATATCAATCCCGTTTAAGCGAAGCGTTCGCATGGAAAATCAAATAGTCGCAAACGAGTGGGTGTTAAGCGGGCGGGGCAATGAGGGTGCGGCGGGGCATATTTCACGCCAGATTTAACATGGAACAGCAGCTGTTGCATATTATGCAAATTCCACGTGTTGAGTTGTGAAGAGCTGCAATTTTATACGCGTACAGCGAAACACAGAGAGAGAGAGAGAGAGGGAGAGAGATAAATATAGAAAGACAATGACATAATGCGAGTTGACAACGTCTTGCACTCTCTTATCTGCGGCTTAAGCTGACGTGGCCTTGGTAAATGGTCAAAAAAACGTAAAAATTGCACAGATAAGATTCGCAAGGTGAATCAGGGAGGCATTATCTGTACGTAGTGAAGTATTGGATCTGCTGACGTTGCCAGATTTGTGCGTTTGGAAACGTAGCGTAAACACACATGAACTGCTGGCATAAACAAACCGCAGACAGGGCCGCCATATTGATGCATAGCACTGTTTAGCACGCGCTCAAAGAGCAACAACAATGAAAGCAACAGCAGCTATGGAGCAACAAAAAAAACAGTAACAGAAACAGAGAGCGAATACAAAAGAAAATAAAGAGTTGAATGAACTTCAGCCGCTGCGCAGGCGCGATCGCATTAAGCGGCGGTGTACGGTGTTAAAAAGGGCAAAGCTAAATAGAAAGCAGCGCAAAAGAGACGGAAATTCTGGACGGAATAGCTGCGAAAAGTTGTTTAGCTAACCCAGTTTCAAGCGACAGTTGCTTGACAACTTTTTTCTATTCTAAAACATATTGATGAAGCGGATGTAAGAAACTAAGCAGCGAGTAGGCGAAATATAGCCACGCCCGGGACGACGAGACAGCGTTGCATTGCCGTGTTGATAAAACTGAGACATATGGAAATAGAAACTGTTCCGGCCTTATCTCGGTTTGAGGACGCCGCGCGGCACCCAAGCAACCAATGATAAGAGCAGGAACGCAGCGTCAGCTTTAGCTGGCAAACACTAACCACGCTGACCCTGTTGGGAAATGTGCCGAAGAATAATCTTCACCGATTGTGATGACGCGCAACTTTTGCTTAGCACTTTAACATTTAAAAACTTACGCGCAACAAATGCCAGCACAGCTGTCGGCTCGCTTGCACACAGGTGCTAGCACATTGCGTGCAAAAGGGATGGTCATATGCAAGGAGAGAGTAACACCAAACGAAATAATAAAGAGTGGCAAGGAGAGGGCAGTGCGCAAGCCAATATCCGCAAAATCATCGATATGCGATAAACGATTAAATGTAAAAACCAAAAAAAATATATACAAATATTTTTTCTCTCACAACTAAAACTTCTGTTCTCTTCCCGCCTTCACAAGCCAAAGGAAGCTTGGCGACTAGCAACAACAATCCGGCTGGTGGCTAAACTGCCACGCAGACATATTTTGTTTCGGAGCATCACGCTGGGGCTTGCTCAGAAAAGACCACGTAGTCTCTTGGCGATTTTCATGAATCACCATACACCATATAGCGGCAGCGGTTTAGGGGCCGGTACGGCACATTTTATTTATGTGAAATATGTTGCAAATAAATACTCACAGAACTCGACAAGCACAAATTCGTTGTCAGCAATCACTTGTTTGAAATTGTCCACCGTCGCTACGATGACACCCTCCTCCAGTTTAATATCAACGGCCGCCACGTAGGACGCCGCGAGTAGTGCACAGATTAGGAATTTCATCGCGGGCACTTAATATTTAGTATATATAAATGCCTATTTGTAGGTAGATGTCTATCACACAGACACACACTAGCGCAACTCTAAAGACAAAAAACGTCTACCGCACAAGTTGCAAGCTAAATTCCAAATGAAATCGTCTACGTCCAAGCGACAGAACATTGGCTCCATATATGTATCGAGTTGTTCGGAATAAGTTCGATTACACGAATCACTGAACTAAAAGAACGACTGTGACTCATTTAGTTCAGATAGGTTTTATGTTATGTTGTTGGCTTAACATTGCGCTGAACTGTTAACAACAGCAAAGAAAAGCTGCATAATTTGAATTTATTATTGTTCCTTTTGTTTTCTAAAGATACGGAAATCGTTGCGACTGAATCGATATAAAACGCACTGTTCTTCTTGACTTGAGCAACAATACTACATTAAGGGAAATAATGCAAGTACAATAAACCAGATGGCACGTGGAAATTATTTAAATAAAAATAGACTAAATTAATAAAAACGTACTTTAATTTAACCAACTGGCAGCTCTCTCCGAGCAGTTATCTAGTACGTAATCTGTTTATATAAAATAACAAACGAAGCCGAAGAGTATTTCCATAATTCCTCATAACAATAAAGGTTTTTTATATGCTTGCAGCTGTTCATACAAATAGATAGTACACTTACAAAAAAATGCACTGAATACTTTCACTGGTAGTCACAGGCAGCCAATTGCTGCACACATTGTATAATTATTTTAGAAAGAATATCTGATGTTTGGGCAGAGCTGAAAGGCTTGTCAATGGGCGGAACATGTACGAACAAGGTCCGCTTGGAATCCACGTCTAAAGACCTTAAATAGATATAACCACAGAGGAAGCCGCCAACATTTTTGGACGCCTTCGTGGCTTCCAAAGCCTTATTGTTGACTGCTCGTGCTGGGGCCACACACTCATCACAGGTTAAGTTTACAGCCTCCACAATCTTATCAACGTTCAGGCCGCAGCGCAAAACATTTGCGTTTCCATTGTAAGGTAGGCAGCAAGTGCTTTTGCTTAGATATTGGCCCGCATTATCGGGCCGTCGAAATTGATGATTATAGGCGAGCTTCTCCACATAAACGCATTTGGCTACGCCAGAGACACCGACATGCACGACCAGCTGCGGCGAATGTGGGGGAATGATGTCAGCGGCGCTCAATTAAATCAAATATGTATATTAATGCTTGCCTCTGGCTGCCGCTGCCAAATGTCTGTAACTGCCTCATCTACGGCCGCATATTCCACTGGCACCATTCTTTTCTCCAGCTGGTAGTCGGTGCCCTCGTAGCTAAGCAGCTCGGGCAGCAGTTGCACAGCCTCCCAGCTGGCGTTGACCTCTTCATGGCCCACGAACGGACCAAAGCCCGTGACCACAATCAGTTTACGCTCCGTCGACGACATTGTAAACACTGCCGCCCACTACAGCGGAGTGTATTGCGCATACTTATGCATACACATGTATGTGTGTTTGTCCGTCTACCCCTCTTCGCCTAACTTTCTTGTTAGCCAGTGCTTGAAAACAGCAAATAAAGCAGAGTACGGTGATAACATACGATGGTCATCAAAATAATCAAACAAGCCTAAGCAAATCAACGAAATGCTTTATTGACATAGGTAGGGATTTAATTAAAAATAACTCGCTGGAGACCTTTATGTTACTTGTAAATGTGTAGTTAGATTTCACATTAGCAGATTTAGCTTAGCAGTGTTCTAAAAACCAGCTGACACAGAGCAGTGCTGTACAGTCTTGTGCTCACTGCGGTACCAAAACAACCCTGTCCAAATAAGCGCATGCCAGCCCTGCTTGGGCGCAAATGCACAAAGAAACCCAGACAAGTGTTTTAGTGCTCAACAAATATTAAACTGAAAGTTTTGTAAAAGCTAAGGAAAAACCAACAATGCTTTCCTAAAGAGAGAGACACTTAATATAAACACATATTAACAACACATTCCGCGCGTGCAAATCGCGCATAAAAACGACCAGGAAAAGGACTGACGTAGTCAAAGTTCTAAGCCGAAATCAATAAAAAAATTTCTTGACACTTGGGGCCGCACTGGAAAATAAAAGCAGCACAAACACGGCATAGTTGTCATCAAACATTTTACGCAAAGAATTTGTGAGTATTTCGTCGGTGTTTAGCTAATCTAATCTGTTCTGACCAAAGTCACCGACGTGGTCGGCTCACACTAAAATATTTGAACTTTGTACATTAAGTATTCATAGACTTTCATATTGCAGGGGCGGTTATAGAGGCTGAGAGTCAGAGGCAGAGGCGGAGGCAACGGCAGCTGTCGCTATTCCCAAGAAGCGCCCCGATTAAACTTTAAAGCTTTTGTTTGTGTGGAGGGCAGGAGCTCATCATGTTGTCGCGCCTGCAAGATTTTCTAACACGCCATCGACGTAAATTTGTTGTAACTGGGGTTTTGGTGGGAGGCACCATCTATGCGGCACGTTATGCGCAGCGCAAGCTCGTGGAGTATCAGGAGCGGCAGGCGCGCGAATTCTTCGAACGTTCGCGACGAATGCATCATTTCGAGTCGACGGAGCGTACTTGCAATCAGGTGATACTGGGCATGGGCGAGGAAATGTGCCAGGCGGTGTTGCACGAATGCAGCACGGATGAGCTGCTCGAGCAGCTGCGCCAAAACCCTACCAACAAACTGGAACTTTGGGAGCAAATGAAAATTGTATCATTCACGCGGCTGGCTACCTTTGTATATGCCTCCTCAATGCTGGTCATTGCGCTGCGTGTCCAGCTCAACCTGCTGGGTGGTTACATCTATCGGGATATTATGACGGAACAGCGGCAAATAACCGACGAATTAAAACAGCAATACTTGTCCCTGATACGCCACTTCATCACGCACGATGGCATCAGGGATCTGGCGCGATTTATACGCAGTCAAGTGGTGGAAGTGCTCAAATCAATGCCGCTGACGCGTCAACTGACTCTGGCCGATACGGAGCAGATCTTCTGGTCGCTGCAAATGGCCATCAATGGCGACACGCGACACGATCCCAACTCCAAGATGAGTAAGTACCTGCTGCCAGATCTAACCCGCCTGCAGGAGAGATTCAATTGCTCCCCGCTGCTGCAGCAGATGTATAACGAGACGCTTGATCTGCTCGAGAGTGAGGATTGCATTGGCGTGTGTGCGCACAACGTGAGTCGCGGCTTTGTGCTCAGTTGTGATGCCATTGCGGAGTCTATGGGCGAGACACTGCAACATTTGGCGCCCGGTGAGCTGCAGCAGCAGCAGCCAATGAATGGCCAGAGCAAACAGAGCAACAACAACAATCTGCTGGACGTTAATAGGGTGCTAGTGGCGCTGGCCAAACTAATACCCATTGTCAGTGGACTTACATCGCACGGCTACGACAGCTCTGCGCGGCCACACAATCTGCCCACCCAGTTGCTCAGCTTCTATGTGGTATCCGAGAAATCCAAAATGTTGGGCGCCAATGTTTACGAGACCTTTAGCTCTGGCTAAGCTATAGCCACAATAGATATAAATAGTCTAAGCTGAAGACAATTGCAACTAAGATTATATTCTAGATGTCTATTTTTAAAGAGGAACATTTTTGAACTTTATAGGGAAAAGAGTGTGTGTTATGTGCGTGTATGTATATCTATTTGTACTAGACCTAAGTCTTAGCTAAGTCAAGAGTATTCAATTGAAAATTTGCGCAAGCCTGCCCTTCGCAGTCTAGTCTAAGTGATGTGAATTTAGCCCATTATACAAAACGATCAACGTGAAGGCCTTTCAAAATAAGTATCTTAATGGAATAGTAATTAACAGCAAAATTTTATAATAAATTGAACAAATTATATATTCCAATATTTCTTACTACACTTTTCTTAGAGAAAACTATATAGAGAAAATGGATCAGCTTGAAATTCGAATGTAATTTCGAAAGCGAACATTTAGCTAATACACAAACCAATATCTTCAACATCAAATGGGGTGGCGCAGAAAAAAAAACCGCCCTATTGATAAGGCGCGCAGTCACCGACAGCTGTCGACGTCTCAGCCGCGGCGTCGCTTGTTTATTTGATTGCTTATTTTCAGCGTGGCCCTGCCACTCTCTCTCTCTCTTTCTCTCTCTATATGTCTGTAACTTTCAAAGAGCGCGAGCAGCGCATGCGCATCAAGTACTAAACAAATTGGAAGCACAGTTATATACAGGCTGCAGGCGTACTTTAATAATGTTAAGGCATCTTTTAGGCGCAACGTTTACCTAAGCAAATAATCTGCTCATTAATGTTATTGAACATAAAAATCTGAATACATTGGCGCGGCTTACTGAATGGCATCTTTGCCCGCTCTCGCTCTCAGTTTCTCTCTGTCTCTCTCTCTCCGTCGCTCTTACTGCGGCTGCTGCCCAGCTGTCTGGTTGAAGTCTAATTATTATGTACATTGGCAGCGCAGTTGCAGAAGTTACGTGAAAACGTAAAGGACGAAAGACGCGCCTTCTTCTGCTACGGCGTGTGTATGCTCGCTTGTGCGTGTGTGTGTAGGGTGTTGTGCAAATAGAAAAACAACATCAAGAAATGTGCAGAAACGTGCAAAATATGTTAAGACTAAGCAAAGATCGTGGCTTGCATTAACTAAAACGCAAATCTGTGCTAAGTCAAACAAAAGTCTTATCAACCAGCAATTGTGTAAGTTGAGTTGTAAATCAAATACCAAAAGCTATTCGAAAACAGTTAATGACCTTTGAGGTTAAATGTTTTCTTAACCTACAAGCTATAATGTTAAACAACGGTATTATTGATTAAGACAAAAGAAAAAGTCATTTACTCACGCACACATGACGCAGACAGACAGACACATGTGCGTGTGTGCTACCGTTAGTTCCCACAGCCAAAGGGGTGGGTGAGTCGCCACTCTCCAACAGAACTCGGATTGCAAGTGCCCAAGTTTATTTATTCTGCTATGCCTAAGGCTGCCGATGTTGCACTTTGCTGGCCGGGGGAACCCCCTTTCTGTGAACGGGAGAGCGGGCGCCATAAATTGTGCGTAAGCCGCATTATAATTATGCTCACATGTGTGACTGTGTGTATAAAGCTAAAAATATAAGCGTATTAGTAAACACATATATGTACATAAAACTA